CCTGTTAGTCTCACCTACGCTCGCGGAGCTAGGCGATGACCTCTATAGTTGACAAGGCCGTCGAATGAAGTGGGGCATACGAGTCATAACCGACTTAGCAATAATTGTGCTAGGTGCAAAAGCCCATTGTCACGATGCTAAGTGTTTACAAGACTTGGTGAATGAAGCTCGTCACAGAAGGATAGATATTGTTGCTTGCGCAATAATGAAATATATAAGTACGCGGCAATTGACATAAGTAACAACGAAATGTAAATGTCTTACTAAAGCATGGTACCAACATGCAATGAGTGGGGCAGTTCATAGAAGTTGGAAACGAAAAACATGGTTCATTGAACATACCAAAATATACGACTAAACGAGTTCACGGTTACATGCCAAAATAACAGGAGTTCGATCAACACATCTACTTCAACACAAAAGGAGATCACATGTAAATCTACGAAAGTGCCGTGGCATCCTCCTACTCGCGGGTCTTCTCCATCTCCTTTGCAGCGGCCTCTACGGCTGACTCCCACCAAGGATGGGTCGCAGGGAGAGATTGGTCGTCGTTCCAATCCACTGGGTTAGGGAGGCCTCTCCTTAACTCGTCAGCATCCACAGAGAAGGTAAAGCCTTGGGTCTCCGCCTCGACTTGGGTCCGTGTGACTCCCTCATGGAAATACTGAAGGCAAGATGTGACGACCCGATGAAGGAAAGTCGTTGAGTCGTGGTAACGCGACAGCAGCTTGGCACGGTAGCACTTGAGGAAGCAACCTCCGAAGTCCGAGGAGATAAACGAATCTCGGCCTTTTTCATGGGCCAGGGCAATGCGCTCGTCGACTGACTGTCGAAGCGCCTTCAGCTCGGCGTTCTTGGCTTCTAGCTCGCCCCGGAGCTTTCCTTCTCGGCCTTCTACAGAGTGAGGGCCTTCTTGAGGGTGGCAAGTCGATCATCCCTCTTGCCCACCTCGCCCTTCAGCTTCTCCACATCGTTGGGGTCGCCCTCTAAAGCCTCGCTGAGCATGGGAGCTAAACCGGACATGAGCTATTTCAGGAAGTAGAGGGGGTAGTGCATTAACTTCGTGCCATTAAGTTTTAAGGCATAAAAGTTAAGTCATGGATTTATACCTGACTAAGGTGGTACATGGTGGCGTCAGCTCGCTCTTGCTTGGTTAGCCATTTGGTTGTCTCACGTTCGGGGAAGATGGAGAGGAGGTAGGTGCTTGTCTCCGATGCGTCTTTGTTGCCAACAAAGTGCTTCGGCTTGGAGATGGTTTCCTTCTTACCCAGTGTCGTGGCCTTGCGCTTCTTTGTAAAGTCCGCGGAGGGTGGCTTGTGATAACGTTGTTGGGGGGTGACCTTGTTAGTGTCCCCAGGGCGGGTCTCCTGCTGCGATGGCTGGTCATGGGGCACCGGGACCTCATCTGCAATGATGGAATCCGGCAGGGTGTCGTTGGTGACGACGGCCGCTTTCGGGACCTTGGCGGAGGCGACGGTCGCCATAAGCTCCTCTGCAAGACAAGAGGTAAGAAACAATAAGTACATGAGTCTGACACTTATGTAAAACGAAACGTAATGATATGCAAAAGGGAGTGAGCGGTGTGGTAGTCGCCCACGGCATCATGTGCCTACCTATATCATCCACGGGTTCTGTGGCACGTTTGGACAGACGGAAATGTCGAAGAAGTCGATCATGGAAGGTAAGCTTCACCACGTGGAGCGGGTGATCATTCCACTGAGTAATGAGGGTGTCGTACTCAGCGTTTCGTTTTGGGTTCTTGCGCTGACCGGGTGGCTTGTCTAGCCAATCGGGTAGAAAGTCGAAGGTATCGGGAGGCGGACGTATGAAGAAAAATTTATCTCTCCAGTTATGAATTTTTTATTTTGGTTTGTCTAAGAAGTGGACATTGTTGCGGCGCATAAGGTAGGGTGTGTCGTTCGTTCTAAGGCTGAAGCAATAAAACCATAGCTTGGGATCAAGTTCGCCGAGACGGGCTCGACATACCATAATAAAAACAATAAGAAGACGGATCGCATTGGGGGAAAATTGGTTCAAAGGTAAACGGTACAGTCGCCTCAACTGGAATAGGTCGGGGTGTACAGGAAATCTCAGTCCAGCATTCACTTGGTCTAGAAAGAAGCTATAACAATCGTATGGGGGATTCTCGTAGGAGTCGCCGGGTCGAGGAACTCTAAGTGCCCAACCTCGGGGCAACTTCATTTTTTTGGCAAGCAAGGCTATTTGGGTATTCGAGTAGGAGGAGATCGGGTTGGAGGATATGGCTCGGGAGCGGGTGACACCCTCTTTTGTAGTAGAAGAGGTAGGCGCATTGGAGGTCATAGACGCCGAGGCCGGGAGAGCTATGGCAATGGAGGGTGATCCTAAGGGTGAAGAGCGTGAAGGCGAAAGGGGGGTGGAGCTAGTGTTGCTCGTCGAGGTAGATCTAGTATTACTCGTATTGGTGGATTGTTCTAAGGTGTACGCAGGTGAAATAATGATCGCAATCCATAGGGCAAGCAAGGAGTACGACATAAACAAAAGAGATAAAAATGAAATGCAAGCATGTGAGAAGGTGAACTACACAAGAACAAAGAAAAAGGGTGAATGTACATAACAAGATTGAGTGGAGGTCGGCGTACCCATGAAGCTTGCTGATGCCGACATGGTGTGACGGAGCGCGTGGACGTTGGCGGCGGGTGCGTGGTCGTCGGGGCGGCACGAGCTCGTCGGCGAGAACACGGGGTCGTCAGGAAGTGCAAGATCGTCGAAAGAAAAATCGCCGGATAGTGAATTTTTAGAGAGAGAATTTATGTAAGGAGAGAGAGGATGAATTTTGAAGTGGTAAATGATGAATGGGGGAGATAAGTATTTATAGAAGAATGTGAGTTTTGGTAGGTGAGGGCTTGATCAATCTTGACCCTCCATTTAAAATCCAATCAAAGGAAGAGATTATGTCTTGGGGAGCAAGTTGGGGATAAGTAGGTGAGAAAAAGGGGGAAATGTGCAACACATGGTAGGTGAGCACATGGGCTTGGCACTCTCACCTCGGCATCGATGCTCTCACGTCATCGGTCGGCAGCTTGAAGGTCGCCATCGCGGGAGCTCGGCATTTCGCAGCTCGTCGGCGGTCGGCAGCTTGGAGGTCGCCATCGCGGGAGCTCGACATTCCGCAGCTCGTCAGCGGTTGGCAGCTTGGAGGTCGGCACCGCGTGGCAGCTTGGCAGCTCGGCGTCCACAGCTCGGCGTCGGCAGCTCGGCATTCCCAGCTCGGCACCGCAGCTCAGCTTCGCGAGGTAGTCGGCATCGTGGCATGGTCGGAGCTCGGCACCGCAACTCGGCTTGGCGTCGGCATCATGGCGTGGTCGGCATCTCGGGAAAGTCGGCGTCGTGGGTCACTCGGCATCACGACGTGGTCGCCGTCATGGTCGGCTCGGCGTCACGGGGCAATCGACGTCGTGGTCAGCCCAGCATCACGAAGTGGTCAGCATCATCCCCGCAGGCAGCTCGGCGTCAGCTCAGCATCATCCTCGTGGTACTACTCTTGGTAGCTCGGCACCATACGGCGGCTCGACACCACGTGGTGGTGTGGCGGGTCGGCAGCACGGTATTGCGGAACAGCTCGACATGGGTATATCGGTGGCCTGGTATTTCATACAAACGTGTGGGTCAGCTTGGCTTGGGATGGTCGAAGTTCGTGTGATAAACCGTCTGACATGTGTTTGCTAGTCAAGGCAGTTGGTGAATTTGTGAATATCACGAATAGAAAAAGACCAATAGCAATAGTATGGCCAAAGTCACAAAAAGTTTTACATTCTTGGTCGAATTACTTGTAACTCGACCGAAGAATGGGGGGGCTAGATGATACGACCATAAATAACGGTCCATGGAGGACCGATGTTAGGTCGAACTTAGTTACATTTAAGCGTGGTCGCCTCATGGGAGAGGGAGCTCGGCATGGGCGTCCATGGTACCACTGGTGGAGGGGAGCTAGGCGTAGTTCATCCAGCTATTCGGAGTTACACCAGCTAGCCGTAGTCCATGGTACCTCTGAGGTAGATGGTGTTCGGCGGAGGCTTGCTCGACCTGTGCTAGGTAGAGTACTAAGGGTAATGAGCTAGGCGCCTAGGCAGCTAGGCATCTCCACCAGAGGGTTCCACCGAGGGGACCTGATCCCGGAGGTGGCTTAGGGATAAAGTCATGTTGAGGTTCACAACCTCTCTCAAGATTCGGGGATCTCTTAACCTAATTGAGAGATACACACAGGAAAGACTTCTTGTCTCGTGAGGAGTCTTCAACTTCACCTATAAAAAGGCACAGGTTTAATCATTTTACACAACACACATACACATATTATCTCGTTACTCTGTCGTTTTCTCTCCAAAACACCATCACTGACTTGAGCGTTGGAGTGTCCGCGCCGGGACCATCCCCGACATGATTTGCAGGTACCGACGATCAAGGAGGTTTAACCCGGTTTGAGAGGAGCAGTCGAGCGGTTCAGGTATTTGTGGTATAACACATATGAATCACTATATTGATTGAATAAAATGTAATAAATAGTGTAATATTTGCAATATTAAGATATCATGACCAACTAATTTGATGAAAGATATTAAATTTATTATAACAATTGCTTATGTGATTTTACTATGACATTAAAATAAATTAATTTATTTAAAAAACAATTGATTTATCAGATAAAAAAATATATTATTGATTTTAGCATAAACAACTAGAACAAAAAGTTTTACAATATAATTTTTTATGTTTATGTAACTTTCATATATCATTTAATGTAAAATATAATTATTAATTCTAATAATAACTATTATATGATAAAATAAAAAAAATTATTATTACTCAATTAATATAAAATGTAACGATTTTTGTCTAAATTTTTTTTAGAAAGTTAGGTGTAAAATTTATGAGATAAAATTCATAAGGTTTTATTTAATGAATTTCTATCAATTATATATAGATATAGATAATAAACCTTCATAAGTCAAACCGCTGATTTTGCTCACCACGCCTCATTTTTAAACACAAAAATTCTCTTAAAATTCTCATAAAAAGCTTTGAATCCGATTAAAAGATTGTAATAAAATGTGGAATGAGAGGCAACGCCATGTGAGATTCAACACTAATAAAATCCAAATTTAATGTATGAAATGCAACCCACCCCACCCCCACCAAGTAGAATCTCTCTCACTCACATTATTATTCCTTTATTCACTCCATCCTCGTTTTATGTTACGCTCTCCTTCCCCCTATAAATCCCCCTTTCAACCCCCCATCACATTCTGCACAGAAGAAAATTTCCCTGAGATCTGAAATATAGAGTGTGTGTGAAAATGTCGAAGCCAGCTACACCGGTTGCGCCGCCCCTCAAGGACGAATTGGACATCGTGATCCCGACGATCAGGAACCTCGATTTCCTCGAGATGTGGCGCCCCTTCTTCGAGCCCTACCACTTGATCATCGTCCAGGACGGCGATCCGACCAAGACGATCAAGGTGCCCGAGGGCTTCGATTACGAGCTCTACAACAGGAACGACATCAACCGGATCCTCGGCCCTAAGGCCTCCTGCATCTCCTTCAAGGATTCCGCCTGCCGATGCTTCGGCTTTCTCGTCTCCAAGAAGAAGTACATCTTCACCATTGACGACGATTGCTTTGTGAGTCGATTTAATTTGGAATCTATTTATTTATTGTTTCAATTTTTTTTTCCTGAGTTGAGTCGTTGAATTGGGGAGCGAGTCGCGGCTTGGATCTGTATGTAGATGGCTTTCCTTGTCGCGTTTCGTTCTGGGATCTGGAAAGCCAAAATCAAAAGTGAGCGAGAGAATATGCTGACTTCTTTTATTTTATTTTATTTTTCTGTTTGTGGGGTGGGTCAGGGGGGTTTCAATTGACTAGATCGTGGTACATTGATTAAATGTGGACCCTCATCTTGGATCGCGGCACGTTGGACAAGTATTGGTTTTTGATTGGCAGGTGTCCGACAGACCGTTGTCTTTTTCTGGGGGACAAATTTTTGGTTTTGGTGGCCCATGAAATTTTTTTAACACAAATCTAGTTTGCATCACTTGTGAAATTTCACTATTTTGGCCATAGGACTACAAAAAGGTCCCATTTGATCGTGAATGTTAATTCAAATCAATTGTGCATTAGTGCAGATCTTGTCTACTTTGTTGATTGAGCTGGTGTCGGTAAACTTACCACTTTAGTGAAAATAGTTTAATGGATTAATCGTTGATTTTTACAGGGTGAATTTTATTTTAGAAATTGTCATAAAAGAAATTTAAATTGGTGTACTGTGGAAAGTTGGAGATCAAACTCTGTATTTCTTTATTATTTTATTTCAGTTATAATTTGTAAAGTTCAAATTTTCTTAGAATTTGGTCATGGAACGACTGAAACCGAATTGAGTGTCTTGTATATTTCAATAACATGAAAAATGGGACATCCAAAGAAAAGAGGTTGGATGTTAACAAGCTGACTTATGGAATCTGAATATTGTGAATTTCATTTCACTTTGAATCTAATAACAGATTTCTTGCATAATATTTTGATAATTTTGGACACCTTCCGAGATGAAGAGTGAATGTATCACTTATATCCTACAACTGGAAATGAACATACAGGTTGCTAAAGATCCAAGTGGAAAAGATATCAATGCTTTGCAACAGCACATACAGAATCTGCTAACTCCATCCACACCTTTCTTTTTCAACACATTGTACGACCCTTTCAGAGAGGGGGCCGATTATGTCCGTGGCTATCCATTTAGCTTGCGGGAAGGAGTCCCGACTGCCGTCTCTCATGGACTCTGGCTCAACATCCCTGATTATGATGCCCCAACTCAGCTTGTCAAACCCCTCGAGCGCAATACTAGGTTTGTCCCTAAATATTCATTCATGCCTTATATTTCATGAAAAAAATTTGAGGTTTACAGTCGACGTGACGTTTGACGCATAAATGACTTCAAAGCTACAAGTTCCATATGGTATTCTTTTCCAAGTTGTACTCCTGATAATGGTGTAGTTCTTAATTTGGATGATGCCTTACCTTTTATTTTGTAAAAAAATTACACAAAAGTGACATTTAGTTATTTATCTTTGTGCTTGTGTCGTTTAGTTGTTTGTTTTTCTTGATAGTTAGTGATTTAATAAATGCTTCTTGGCCTTGTATCACAAAGGTATGTAGATGCTGTCCTGACTATTCCTAAGGGGACCTTGTTCCCAATGTGCGGAATGAACCTTGCTTTTGACCGAGAGCTCATTGGGGCCGCCATGTACTTTGGGCTCATGGGCGATGGCCAGCCCATTGGGCGATATGATGATATGTGGGCTGGCTGGTGCACTAAGGTGAGATTTCTTTTACCATCTTGCTCAAACTATTAGATCCATAGAGTCGATCAATTTTCTACTTATGCAGAATGTATTGTTCATTTTAGTTTGTATCAAGAAAAGTCAAATTTGATTTTGTAAGTCTTAAATTTAATTTTTTGATATAAAAATTGCAGGTGATCACAGATCACTTGGGTCTTGGAGTGAAAACAGGTCTGCCATACATATGGCACAGCAAGGCCAGCAACCCATTTGTGAATCTGAAGAAAGAATACAAAGGCATTTACTGGCAAGAGGAGATAATTCCCTTCTTCCAGGCAGTGACCCTCCCAAAGGAATGCACCACTGTGCAAAAATGCTATATTGAGCTCTCAAAGCAGGTTAAGGAGAAGCTTGGGTCAATTGACCCTTACTTCCAGAAGCTAGCTGATGCAATGGTCACTTGGATTGAAGCTTGGGATGAACTCAACTCATCTGCTCCAGCAGCAGCTGCTGCTGCTGATGCCAAGGACGGGCCTTCCTCCAAAAAGAAGTAGATTTCTTTTGATGAGATGAGAATATTTATTTTACTTATCCATACAATTCATATTTTGTTGAGCTCTAGGTTTCTGTTCTGTTGGTTCTGTTTTTCGGGTTGTTGACATGATCAGTTATTCAGCGGGCGGCTCAGGATATCTTTAAGTTATTTTCCATCTGTTTGTTGGAACTTTTAGTTTTAAGAAATAATATACATGCTTATGTCAGTTGATGAATAAAATTTTTATTTGGTGGTACATTTATGGTGCACTTGTTATTTCGTTGTACTAGGCTCGGCAAATTCTCGTCTTCTCACTGATTTGCGAGGTCCCACAACTTGTTAAGAGAAATATCCAGGATGAAGTTGTTCTAGTCACTACTTGTCACTGAATACTCTTCTTGTATTTCCCAAAATACTAGGAAAGGATTTGTTGTTCCCTGCTAGAATTTCCCAAAATAATATGATTTGAATTGTTGCTAATTTAAGCTGCACTAAAAACTTGGTATTTCCCCATATGCACTTCTTAGCCTGAAAAATTGAAAGGGTTGGGAAAAGTGATTGTAGTTTCATGTATCTTTGAATCTAGTCAATATACAGTGTTAGTTTCTGGAAAATCATATGATTGCTACTGTGCTGATAAGCAAATGCACTAACAATTGTAGTTAGGGACTTTCTCAAAACAGATTCAACCTTTGTCAAGAACGAGTTTAGGTAAGGTAACTCTTCCTGACCCTTCAAATTACAAAAAAGGTACAAAATTCAAGGATTGCCCCAATTGGGTTCTGCTGATTTTGATTTTAAAAAAGGTGGAGGGCTCACAATTCGCTTAGAAAAATTTGCAGTAGTGGTCTCAAATGATGGAAGATTTGATTTGTCCATAAATCTGACAATGGAGAACGAAAACTATGCAGTGTCTTATACAGGACAAAACTATATGCTGCCACTGAACCAACCCAAATTCTTCAACACCTTCAAACTCCAACCAAATTTGACTACAACAATATATATCCAAGATTCCAAAAAT